ACTGGAGCCTCAGTTTCAGGATCTGTCCTTCCAGTGAGCACTCAGGGTTGATTTCCTTCTGAATGGATAGGTTTGTTCTCCTTGCAGTCCAAGGGACTCTCAGGAGTCTCCTCCAGCACCACAATTCAAAAGCATCAGTTCTTCGGTGGTCAGCCTTCTTTATGGTCTAGCTCTCAATTCCATATATCATTACTATCTAGGTTTGTCATCGCTTTCCTCCCCAGAAGCAGGCGTCTTTTAATTTTGTGGCTGCTGTCACCATCTGCAGTGAACATGGAGCCCAAGAGAGTAAAATCTGTCACTGCCTACATATCTTCCCCTTCTATTTGCCAGGAGGTGATGGGACCAGTGGCCATGATCTTGGTTCTTTTGATGTTGCGCTTCAGACCATTTTTTGCGCTCTCCAACAGGCTACATAGCCAGAACTCAAATCCAGGATGGAAAATGTCAGTAGCATCTTACAAAGAACTTCACATTTCTGGCAGGCATAGTTAGTTAATCCAAGGAATTTCTTATAAGCCCTTGTCAGACTTAATTTTACGTAGAAGATTTCATATCTGCCTTTTGCAACCCAATTCTGATCCAAGGATTGTGGTCTACACACATCCCAGCCCAAACAATGGTCTGCAGTCCCAGGGGATGTCCTGTAAAACATCTGGAGGGGCACCAGATGTGTGACACAGACCAACAAAGCCATCCTTCCCCAACCTGATGGGAGCTATCATCCCAAAGATTCAGGACTACAGCTCCCATAAGACCAGAGCCCGGACAGCATAGCAACAATATAGCAGAAGTGCTTGCAGGATGATGGGCGGTGGAGTTCAACCTGTTTGGGAGACCCCAGATCTACACGGTAGAGCTCAGAGCTCAACAAACATCACTTCTGTATTAGCAAGAGATCGGAACAGTTCACCTACCTCTTCTAAGCCTTTCCACGCCGTGGCCAGGAGCCACCGGGCCTCCGCCACCTCCAGGAGCGAGCTCTTGCAGAACCCAACATTCTCCGTGAACACAGAGTCTGTGACAGCGTTCCGTCCCTCCGCTAAATCCCACAGGCAGATGTTCTGATCACGGCTCTGGCTTTTGCAATTCAAAGCGATATGCATCAGACAGCACAACCTCCATCAGAGGATATCAGTTCTCTTTCATCCCCTCTCTGATCCAACTTCACTCCAGATCCCCAGTGGAATCCCGTGTCGGCCGACCACCTCGGTGAACGACATTCCCCCACCCCCATTCGTGCAGCTATCCGATTATCCAAATGGAACAGCCCACTTCCTGACGACTGGGATAAAGGGAGCTGGTCTAAGTTTCCTTATCTGCATGCTGAAATGGATCTGAAATGTATTATATTTTTTCAAAAAAATAAATCACCAGATGTTGGAGGGACTACTCAGACAGTTCTCCTGAACCCACTACCTGCACAAAATCCCTCTCCACTGAGTAGACAGAGATCTATCATGCCTGAACACAAAAGTATTCACATGCTATGCAACTGGAGTACAGAATTTGTTAACAATGGCCAGCAACGTAGATCTTAGAACTGCAGAGCTAGAAGGGACCCTATAGATCATCCGAGTCAAGTCCTTGTCAAGGAGGCGCAGTGGGGGGAATCGAACTCCCAACTTCTGGCTCCCTAGCCAGAGACCTCAACCCCTGAGCTATCCAGAACCTGAATGGCATTAAAAGGAGATTAGACAAAACTCAAGGGGAGGCAAGTGTATCAATGGCTATTATCCTTGCATCGAACTCCCAACTTCTGGCTCCATAGCCAGAGACCTCAACCCCTGAGCTATCCAGAACCTGAATGGCATTAAAAAGGAGAAATCCCCCATTTAGACCATCGTTTTGCGATCACAAAAAGATCGTCGTCAAGCAGAGGCAATCGTAAAGCGAGGCACCACTGTAGCAGGAAAATGTTGAGGAATATGACCAGCAGGGTGCTCTTGAGTTGATACTGTGTATCGGGGCTTCCCATGGGCATCCGTTTTGGCACCGTGGGAAGAGGAAGCTGAACTAGATCAGCCTTTGATGGCGATTGCCGCGCATCTCTGATATTCTTCGTGCGGGAACCCACAGAAGTCATTACACAGATGCACTCCGGGGAGGGACAGCCCACAGAATAAGCAACGGCAATCAATGGAAACCACAGATTCATATCTGTCTGGAAGTGGTTCTTTTCGGATTCCTAAAAGGATAGACTGCCAGCACTTTATTGGAGGAACTGGCGTCCTACGCCTTCTGAACTCCGCTTTAAGAATGGAATAAAAGCTAAGGAAAAGCTTTCAACTTGGAACCTTTGTAAGCATCGAGGGAAGTCTGCGAATCTTTTGTCTCTCTCTCTCTCAATGAGGTCTAATACAATACATCTGATCCTCCTGGCTTAATGTGTGGATTACAACTCCATTATCTGCTGGCTTCCATGCTTCCCATCGGTCTCATGCTGCTCAGGGGTCAACATGTAGCATACAGCTGTGTGTTTCGAGAGAGAAATGTGCTTACGCATGTTCCGGGGTGGGGAAGATTCAGGTGAGACAGTTGTACGGAAAAACACAACATCTTGTGGCCCCTTAAAGACTAAGAGGTTCTCTTTGACATTTTAGTTAAATGCAAGTATCGGTTCATTTGTTTTTCATTGGCAGATTCACATGGAAAAGGGGGCAAATTTAACTTAAGCAGGGGAGCACATGCTGAGCAGATGCAAATAGTGATTTGCCACACCCCTAGAAAAAAGCCAATGCGGTGTAATGGTTCAACTCATAGATTAAGATGCAGGAGATATGAGTTCCAGCTGTCACATACCCAGAAAACTCACTATGTTACCATGGGGGAGTTAATCTCTGGATCTAGACTAGAGGCGGGCACAAATGGACAATTTGGCAATTCGTGATGATTTGTTTATTAATAGTGATTTGCCACACCCCTAGAAAAAAGCCAATGCGGTGTAATGGTTCAACTCATAGATTAAGATGCAGGAGATATGAGTTCCAGCTGTCACATACCCAGAAAACTCACTATGTTACCATGGGGGAGTTAATCTCTGGATCTAGACTAGAGGCGGGCACAAATGGACAATTTGGCAATTCGTGCTGATTTGTTTCTTGGTTGAACAGGTGTTTGGCACTTCAAAGCTCCACTCCCTCTGGCGGGCACCCACTCAGAGGATGGATTGGCTTCCCGAGCCCGCCTCCTCTGAAGCACCAAACACCTGTCAGGCTGATTCACGAACCGGCACGAAACGCTGTATGCCCATCTCTACTATAGACCTACTTTGCAGGGTGGTTGTGAAGATAAAATGAAGAGGAGAACTATGTATGTCGCCCTGAACTTACTGGTGGAAAAGCAGGATATTAATAACAACGATAAACCAAACAGTGTGGTGTAGTGGGCATAATAGTGGATGAGGACTCAGGAGATGGGGGTTCAAATCTCTGCTCAGCCACAGAAGCCCACTGGAATTGGCCGTGATAAACCACTACCTGAACTCTTTGCATACCTTGAAAACCCACTAGGGTTGTCTTAAGTAAGAAGGGACTTGGCAGGGCAGAACAAAAATAACACCGTATTTTCCATGCATAAGACGCCCTCTCCACTTTTCTAATCCAAAATTAAGAAATCTAAGTGGGGCTCAGCAAGTGTAGGGGGAAAGGGATCAAAGCGCTGCAGGATCACTTTGATCCCTGCTTTCCCCTCCACTTGTTTTTGTTCTCTCCTCAGCTTACTTCCGTGTATAAGGCAACCCTCAATTTTTAGTCTAAAGATTTTAGACAAAAGTATAGTCTTATACATGGAAAAATACGGTAAATCACATAAACGGGGAACAGAAGAAATTGTTTCTGGAATCTCAGAGGGGATTTGCCGAGGACAGGTCCGCATGAGATCTGTTAAAACAGAAAATTCAGATTACAGAAGTGATGTTTGTAGACTACAGCTCCCAGAATTCACCAGTCAGCCACACGTTCACCAACTACGCTGGCTGGAGGTGTGGGTGATTTCTGAGAACAGGAATCCTGTTCCATTATTCTGCCCCATACCACACAGGGACCACATGCCAAGAAGTAATGACAACGGTATATCCATTTGCCACAGTGCAATTCGAAAAACTAAACCAACAATGGTTATCATCTCTAAGGCACGTGGTCATTAAGAAAGACAGAAATGATACGCTCTCATTAGAAGCCTCAAACAAGGTGTACCACAGCAGCAAAAACAGCAAACTGCACGAATCCATCAACATAAAGTCTCTCTTCCATAAGATTAGTTGTATTACAGATGATTATCTCTCTGTTGTTTTTTTTTCTAATTACACTGCATCAGCTCAATGGGAATACAACGGTTAGAGTTTTCTGTCCTAGACAGTCAGCTCAGGAAGTTAGAAGAATTAAAAGCAATGAGTTATAGTTCTAGAAGTGAGTTGCCATTATAGTTCCCTTTAAAAAAAAGCAACTCTTTGCTTTCTCATTACTTAAAGGTAAGAAAAATTACTTTTTAAAAACACCAGAATGATAACAGTGGCTGGTCTGTGACAGCTAAGTATGAAGACCACACAACGTGCATTTATAAAAAGCACCGAAAGCCAGTTACCAATTTGCTACAAAGAGGAAAAGTTACCCCTCTTTGCATTTGTAACTTAAAGTAACTTAGTTATCCATTAGTTATCATTGGCAGAGGGTTGGACTCGATTTGTCTGTTTGTTCACATTTGTCTATCTTGTGTGAATGGATCTCTGACTTGGGGTACACTTGATTTCTATTAGCCCCAGTCATTGGCATAGAGTCCCTTATCACTGTCCATGCTGTGCGGAGCTCATAAGGGTTATGGGTCAGGGCGTCTGTGTTATTCGCCGGCACCATCAGCTTCTCCAATTTTTGCTTCCTGTAGCTGACTTGTTTCAGAAAAGAAAGCTACCATGGAGCTTCCTGGGAGTTGTAAATCTTTGGGAGGTACCCTCTAACAACCAAAGGGGTAGCAAAACTACAACTCCCAGGAGGCACTGCAAAAGCTTCCTTAAACACACCAGCAACAGGAAGCAAAGGGTGGAGAAGCCAGTACTGTGTGTACATAACCTCAAAGCCCTGTTGGGGGCGGGGGTACAGAGGGGTGCAAATCTGGGTTTGTGCAATGCGATTCCCGGAACATTTCGGGAACTACTGTCCAAAAATACAAAACAGCAGCCCTCTATCTAGAAGGTTAAGAATCACAGCAATAAACTCCCAAGGTCTGAATTCTAGTAGTATTTCTCGTTATGAATGAGAGATCTCCCAAATGTCCAGTCGTCAACCCTGCTCAGCTCTTGCAAACTCAAAAAATGTGACTTCCTTTAGGGAGTCGGTCCATCTTGTACTTGGTTTTCCTCTTTTCCTGCTGCCTACCATCTTTCTCAACATGATTGTCTTTTCCAACGTTTGAGCTAGTCAACGGATTTATTGCGAGAGTCAGGTGGTCCCTGCACCCATTTACAAAGCAGCGAGGACTAAGGACCCAGTCCCTATCACAACAGCCCAAAAGATCCAAAGACCCAGGGGTTTGAGAAGGGTTCGCACCCGTGACTTATATGTGAACAGATGACGGTAGCCCCAATATACGTCTTGCACAGACAACTTAGTTTATAAGGCAGAACCTGGGAGATGGAAACCCTGTAATTATCTTAACAACTCAAATTTAATTCTCGTCTTCTGGGGTGTGAATTTGTGGTTATGCAGACGACAACGAATCTAAATGCTAATCAGGTCTGCTACAGAAGATGTCTTGGCGTGATAAACATGTCAAAACACCTCCAGACCAAAACGATGCGTTGCCAACCTGTTCCAGAGGAAGGAGGAGCTTCGTGTCAGGTAAGGCAACAAAGAGACGCACGATATCGCGTAGACAAGCCCGTTTATCACAGAAGACGCTTTCATGGACTTCAGCCCAGTGAGTTGAATCCAAGGATCGCTATCCTCGGCTGACAGTGTCTATATGGTGCATAGAGTTATGGAGCTTGGGAAAGTTTTTAAAAACCCACTAGAATTGCCAGTAAGGGGATTGTGGGCTTTGTAGTTAAAACAAAAGAGGTTTCCAAGCTCTGGCCTTGTTTGATTCCGTATCCATACCCACCTACGTTTCTATTTCAGCATGCTATGAAGGCAACTCAGATCATCCCACCAGAATACAAGCGCCGAGAGAGTCCACCAAGCTGGGAAGGCTTTAAGTCCAGACTGCATTCCTGCCTTCTAAAGCCAGCCAAATCAGGACCAGCGAGGTTCAGCTCTAGAATGCTAGGGGTGAACTCCTTGGACTGCAAGAAGTTACTCTATACAGTGGTGCCTCATTTAACGATGTTAATCCGTTCCGGAAAAAACATCGGTAAGTGATTTAATCGCTAAGCGATATTAAAAAACCCATAGGAACATATTAAAACGCATTTAATATGTTCCTATAGGCTAAAAACTTACACTAAAGCGAAATTCCTCCATAGCGGCAGCCATTTTGGGTGCCCCCAAAGCGAGGCAAAACAGCGGTGGCTATTTTGTTTTTGCGGTGGCCATTTTGGAATCGCCGATCAGCTGTTTAAAAAAGTTCGCTTTGCCATGATCGCTTCCCTGCGATCATCGCAAAGCGAATTTTAGCCATAAGGGCCATCACTAAGCGATCGCTCCAGCGATGGCCAAAAGTCCATCGCAAAGCGATTTCATCACTCAATGGAGCAATCGCTAAGCGAGGCACCACTGTATTAATAATAATTATGTGCTGTCCAGTCAATTCTGACTTACAGCAACCCTTTCCAGGGTTTGCAAGGTAAAGAAATGGTTGACCATTCGCTTCTTCCAGGGGTGCCTTGGGACTGTGCAGCTTGCCCACAGCTACACAGGCTCACTCTTTTCCTACAAAGCACCGTGGGGGAATAAAAACGCTCAACTGCTGGCTCCGCGGCCAGAAATCTAAACTCCTGAGCCATCCAGTCAGCTACTCTATATTAGCCACCCATATTCGTTCAGCAAGCCCACTGCTGTCTACCTCGACTGGGAGAAAATGTTCCATCTCTATACTAGGTAAAGGCAAAGGTAAAGATTCCCCTTGACATTTAGTCCAGTCGTATTCGACTCTAGGGGGCGGTGCTCATCCCTGTTTCCAAGCCATAGAGCCAGCATTTTGTCCGAAGACAATCTTCCGTGGTCACATGGCCAGTGCGACTTAGACACGGAACGCTGTTTACCTTCCCACCGAAGTGGTCCCTATTTATCTACTTGCATTTGCATGCTTTCGAACTGCTAGGTTGGTGGGAGCTGGGACAAGCGACGGGCGCTCCCTCCGTCACCTGGATTCGATCTTACAATGGCTGGTCTTCTGACCTTGCAGCACACAAAGGCTTCTGCGGTTTAGCCCAGAGCGCCACCACGTCCCTATAAAAATACACCTTACTCCTCAATATCACCGAAAGTCCACCCCCTTCCATGTTCTTACACAGGAAACTCATGAGGCCACCCGGCCACTGCCTCCAACCGGGGACCATAAAGACGAGGCCAAGAGAGGCAGGCACACTGCCTTCACTTCCGGTTCCCGTTTGACACGGAGTGAGGAACAGCTTCTCTACAGCCTTCAAAGCTCTTATGATCTGTCCCTTTTCCCAGAGGACCCCTGGCTCGGATCCCAACCCAGTTGGGTTGGGAGCTCTTATGATCTGTCCCTTTTCCCAGAGAACCCCTGGGAAATCGCTAAGCCTTCTCTAAGGGAGATCCCATTGAGATCGGAATGAGGGACATGTTGCCCTCTGGATCTTTGGCTTCGCAGAACTCCCCTTTGCCCCTCATAAGGTAGGGCGGTGGTAAGAAATGGTGGCCCTCGGCTGTCCAAAACCTGCAGAGAGCCAACCGTTCCCCAATGTCGATCTAATTCTAGGGCGCAAATTGAAGATGGGACTGCCGTGGATGTGAAGCATGGGGGGGGGACATGTTGCCCTCCAGCGGTAGTTAGACAGACTCTGACTACCATCATCCCTCATGCTCCTGGCTTGATCTGATGGGACTTGTAGTCCAGTAGCGTCTGGAAGGCTACTTGTCCTCACACTCACCCCAGAGAATGGAATGGAAGAACCTCAGTCCTTTTTTTGTTTCTGATGTTGCGCTGGCAGTAGCAAGAGCTTCTATATATGGATTTAGCGGTAGTTCATCTGTCCTTCCCCAAAGGGGGGGAATGAGGGAATCCTGGGTCCAGCCAAAAGAAGAGTGCACACCAGAGTTTCCAGATCCAGTCCGTGTCATCTTTTGTCTTAAGGTCACGGAGAAGATAATAGGAAAAAAAAAACCTTTGCCAGTGAGTCGTAGACTGGTGGGACGTGGTGGCGCTGCGGGTTAAACCTCTGTGCTGCAAGGTCAGAAGACCAG